GGATAGGAAAAGACTAAAAATGCATTTAAAGCACTTAGAATTATTCAACCAGAGACCGGATTGATTCGAGAATGATTGCACTTGCAGTAAACTGTCAGAAAATGATTCGGTCAGATTGTTTTGAAATGACTTGACATAAGACCGCGTCAAACGCATAGTTAAAGGTCTTGGCTGGTGGGACTGAGGGTAAGTCACGGGTGATAGTTGAAAATAAGAAGGGAGAGAGCGCAGCACCATGAAGGACTCCAGAGTTATTCACTAACGGTTTTAAAATAGTGCCGTTTGCTTTCGTTCTCTGAATCCTTCCTGTGAAATAATCTTTCAACCGTGATAANATATGCTCTCAAACGAACCGACAAATCCCATGCAGCTATCTACGAAGAAACAGTGAGCATTCTTTCAATGTGACCTTTACACTAGCACATGCACGCGCACCCATACGCACACACACACATACACAACGAATAACGATCGATCTGACTTTCGACTGCGCCCGTACAAACTCAAAAACATGGTCAAAATGAATGATTTTTCTTTCACAAATTTGAATGAATAATACGTTTCGCTAAAGAAAAATGATAACAATGTGAATTATTGTTACAAGATTATGAACACAGCAAATAAATGAGTGCCTTACAAGCGCCTCGTTTCAACCAACCAGGCTGATAAGCTGGCGCCGTCGTGACATCCGGTTGTCTGTGAAGGGTCCAGTGTATGCCACAACAGTTCGGCCAGTTCAGCTATACGGTGCAGAAACTTGGCCATTAAGAAAACAGGATAAAGAAAGACTGTTGGTGTTTGAACATCGCTATCTACGTCGCATTGCACGAATCTGGTGGAGCAGCCCGAAGAGCAATGCCGAGGTTAGGTGTAGTTTTAGGTAACCGCGGTCGCCCACTGGAGCAAATGGTTGACCTCCTAGATTATGTTGGTTGGTGCAGGTGTTACGCATGTCACCAGATGGGCTACCATGGCGAGCGATTTTCACCAATGCAGGTAGTGGGTGGATGAAAGCCAAGACCAAGCCAAGACGAGGGTATGGAAACCCTAGCCAGGAGTCTGGGTCACATAGGTCCTGTTAGGCTCCCTGGATGATCATATTCGATGATTAGAGATACTGAAGGATATGGCTGTGTCGTACACAGTGGAGTTTGTGCATCTTGTCAATTTCTCTGCAACATTAGTCCAAATTCTCTCAGATCCTAATTTCAACCTTTTCTGTCTTCCTCCTAATGTTCATCCAAATGAAAGACCAAAAGACAGCAACCAAAACCGGCGCACGATAGTGCATGATTAATGGTTGTACAAACTGAACTGAACTGAACTGATAGGAGATTCGACAAATGCCACACAACTCTGTTCGACAGACTGCAGATCGTGTCACACGCAAACCTCAAACTTCCTTCCACACGATACGCAGTGGACTTTGTTTACCACAGTACGTATGCTCGTTCACACACACACGCACACACATACACAGCAAAATCACAAGCAATTCGGTTGAAGACAACAGTTATTGTTCGATGTGTCATCCACGTTTTGCAGTACAGTCCCTCATACAGCAGACAACAAGAGGCAGCATAAAGCAAAGATTTTGGCAGTTTTCTTGTAACCGGTTCGGATGATTTGAGTCAACCCAAATGGGTACACACACACACACACGAGACACACGAGAAAGGCCGTTGGGGTCAAAAGGGATAGAAAAACAC